GTCTCCGCATCCGCGACAAGCGTAAAGACATCGATCCGTCGGGTGGCCTCTCTTCCCACACTTTTCGCATGTCAGACGTGTCCAGCAGTCTAGATTGGTGTGTTTTCTCGACCCACAGTGAGAACAGCGGTCTCGATCTTGGTTATCTCTGGTTCCGGGTTTGCGTCGATCCGAGATCCGGGCTCCCTCCGGCGCTTTCGTTCCGGGTCGTGCTGGATCTGGGTCCCGCGAGGCACCCCAGCACTGATCAACTTCTCTTCTGCTGCAGCGAGAAAAATCCTTCGCAGGTCCCCTTCTGAGTCGGATCCGTCCGATCCCGGAATTCCGTCCGACTCGGTACTCGGATCATGCGTTTGGATCGTGCGTACCGCGGCCCGGGCTGGCGCTGTTGGAGCGCTGGCCGGAACTTTCTGTCGAAATCTCGAACCGAACGCAGATCGGCGTTGTCTACTCTTAGCTCGTTCCCGCGCACGGAGAACTTCCTCCAGTTCGTCGACGTCAACCAGTCGTAATAGTGTTAGGCGGTCCGCTAATTCAGGATCGCCCAACGTCTCGATGTAATAATCGACGTGTTCCCGACGCGCCTTCGGATATCCATCCTTGATCTTGAGTTTGGCTTGCAGAGCGGCCACATTCAGCCGATACAGATAATCGAGTGGGGTCTCCTCGGATCTCTTTCGGGCATGGTAGTATTGCCACGCCACTGACATGCCCAGACCACAGTATTGAGTTTGGAAGCTCTCGAGTAGATCCGCCTATTCGGTCTTGGTAATCCGACTCAACTGTCGGTGCCAGTTCTTGGCTGACCCCACCACCAGATCCCCGAACGTGAGGCATTTCTCCTCTTCGGTTGCTTGATCTCGCTGGAACGCCGATTTTACTTTGCCGATCCAAGCTCTGGCGCATCTTCGTCCATATCCTTTCCGGTAAACTCCTTCAGATCTGAGATGGCTGAAATCCGGACCCTCTGGATCAGCGATGACGAATTCCCAGAGCCGATCACAGCCGTGGCGACCGCAGCTCGACCAGAATTATGACCGGAGGAACTGGGAATCCCGAGATCGTCGGGATCGTGCTCCCAGGAGTCTAGATCCGGGGTGCCGACGGACTCCATGTCGACATCTTGCATTCCGAGAGGTGATGGTTGGACCGTCACGAGATTTTGTTTCTTCTAGAATCTGTTCATCGCCATCTGGAAGTATTCGTCCAGTTTGTAGCTCGATCCCGTCGAATCGGTCGTTGGAGTGGTTTGCCCGGCTGGGATCTGTCGCTCTTTCGGCCGATCAAGCTTCTCTGGGGCCCGACTTAATGCTGCTGGCCGTTGATCCGGCCTGGTCACGCGCGATCTCAGATATTTGGCGCCCGAGGGCCCTAGTGACATGCGATGCGGGGCTCGGGGCGAATCTAAATCCGGTTCCGAGGTAGCCGACGCGTAATGTGACGACCCTGTCTGATAGTTCAGATCTGGTGTCTGGACGTGATCGCTGACCAAGATCTTGAGCGATTCGTAGAGACCTTGAGTCGCTGCCTGGATCGCCCCCAAGTTCCATCTCGAATAGGGCATCCGGGTCGAATTCTCCTGCTACTAATCCAGCCTCCTGGAGTAGATCCAGTAGGATCTTCACCGCATTCAGCCTATCTGTGCTGGTGTTAGGCTTGGATATCGGGCCGGTCAGATCGCAGATCTGTCGTACTTGTATAGTCGCGATGATTGGATCCTGTAGCAGAGTCTCGCTCAGGATCTTCCGGTGGTAAGCCTGTTCGATCAAGTCCTTGGCGATCGTTGATCTCGGCTTATGCGCGTCTTCCGATTACGAATCCGGCGCCTTCAGCTTCGTCCGAGCGGCCTTGACCTTCTTCTTCGATCTTGTCGAGGCCGCCGACTTGGTGGACGGATTGGACTAGAACTTGATCATATCTTGTCCGTAGTGTACGGATCTAGATTCTCATCTATATCCGCGGTGGCCGCCGCGGCGGCCTTGAGAGGAATTCGAGGTTTCT